CCAATTTTTAAATGAATAGTGAATTTTGGGGTAATGTGAGTGAGTTCTATTATGATGAAATGAAATAATTTCACATTTTTGAATTGCATTTAAGGATCTGATTAAAAAATAAGATAAAAACAAAATCCTAGTTAATGATCCAGATTGGGAAATTTCAGAAAACAAAAAATTTCAATCTGATTTTAGATGAAGGCTCTCTAGGCAGAACAATAAACTTATAAATCAGATGGGGTGGAGATTTCTCAGAAATAGAAATTGCGTTAGCTGTTTGACACTGCACCTATGAAGCAAAAAGTTGTCTCGAAGGGAAAATACTTTTGTTCTTTCAAGAAATATTTTGATTCAAAATACAAAACAAAGATGAATGCATATTATAGCCTCGATAATGTCTAGCCAATGAATGTGTAATGAAAAGAAACAATCACGAACGAAAGGAAGCAACGAGATAAGCAAAAATAAAATTTAGGCTAAGTGTCTTATAGCTAAGTTTAATAGTATTTGCCACTTAAAATTTGTATTAAATATGGAAAACAAAGTACACCAGAGAATAACCAATAAATTTACCATGACATTGTATAACTCTTGTGACACCAGCCGCTTGTTCAAGAGTATCAATGTTTTGTGTATAGTTACGGAGTAACTTATCAAGCCTTTCGAGAGTTGCAATAAAATAATGTGCCGGAGAAGGTGAGTATTGCCCAGGAAAGATTTCCTGATTGTAAAAAAGAATAGGATTAATAACTAAAGAAAAATAAGTTTGGAACAAGCTTAAACAAAATATAATACGCAAAATCATCTAACTGAATTAGAAATATCCTATTTGCACAAAATATAGCTACCAAGCTTCATGTGTATCTTGAAAATTAGTTGCTCAAAAGCGAACAAGGAAAGGACAAACCTTTGCAAACTTGAAGAATATTGATGGATTAGTTCGAAAATAATCCATATCAAACATGGCTTGAGAACTTTTCAGTTCGGGATATTCTTTAGCTAGACGAGCATAAATACCATCACGCGAACGAAAATCCGGTATTCCACATGACACTGAGACTCCAGCCCCAGTGAGAACAAGAATACGCTTAGATGTTGACAAAAGTTGAACAACATGTTCTATCTTAGAGAATCCCCGTAGACGTCTTCGTGGAATTGGCTCAGAGAGAAGATTTAGTAATAATCCCCACAGGCAATTTGGTTCATTAGGCAAATGCGACGCGTTCATCCCAAAAAGACGAACCAAAAGCAATTTGGGGTCGTCGTATCCAGCTTGCAGAAGAGCATTAAGTCTGCGGAAAGGGCCTAGATAATAAAAGAAATAATGACATTAATTACATTCGCTTAAAAATATTAGCAGCACAAAGAGCGAAATCCGTCTTAATTTTTGAAGGGTAAACAGACAAGGGGATCACGAGAGATTGAAGCAGGTAGCCTTGCTACTCACCAGCCACATCACACCATTTTTCTTCCCCTCGTACATCACATTCATCGGAAGAAATTGCATCGGCCTCTTTAGCTCCAGAATTTGAACTGGAAAACTTGGAGTTGGGACTTTTGTCAGGGGAATTAGCAGCACATCTGCGATGATGTTGATTGACAGTAGGGTACTCCCCCGATTCCATTGATTATGAGGCTATTAAATATCGAAGGTAAATGCGTGATGTGCGAAGATTGAGCTTTTACCAAGGCGAAGGAATAGCGAGGCCTATGACCTACCTAAGGGACAAGGCGGAAGTCATAAATCGCGGCCTCGCGGAGGGGAAAAATGAGTTGCATCCGTTACATCAGTTTTAAAAGATTAGATTTCCAAAAGAGTGCTTATCCTTATAACTAAAAATATTTAGATATTCCTATGTAAAATAGCTATAAATGATTTTATGGGGCAATGAATGGTGGCTGTCCCTTGACAAACTAACTACTACGCAAAATTGCCAGTAATGCTTTATGGTCACAAAACAGATGTGAATATCAAAGAAGGCTAAACCTCCGCCCATGCCATAGTCTGTGATGAGACTACCAATGAGGCAAAGTTGTATTTATTATAGCTTTCTACTGCATTACTGCTGGAGCAGGAAATCATTAAGTAAAGTATCCAATGTCTTCGAAGGACCCTTAGTGATAATGATTTGGGATTCATAGCTATTTAAAGCATTCTCCATTTGTTATGCATAATTTACCCCAAGAAATGATGATAACTGCTCCTCTTTGTTTAGCTTACTTCCATTACGAGTGAAAGTGTTTTGTGAAGAGTTTCGAAGGCCAATCCCCCCAGCAGACGATAGCGAATTCCTCTTGACCAGCTGCCTAGTGGCTTTACTGGAGCATTCTTATTGACGCTGTTTCCAATTTAATCGACTTAAATGCCGGTGAAGACGTGCTAAGCCTTCGTCCGTCATACGACAGACATCGGATTAGATTATCATCCTTGCAACCATAGTCATGATAAAGAATCAAGAAAACGCACCACCTTGATGAGGTATAAAGTTCTAATCATATTTTAACGTCAAAGCATGTTAGTGTGTCTGTCTGTATATGTGTACACGACCACACGTGGTTGCATATGTACAAAACCAGCAGTGGTGGCTTAAATTAATTCGAACAAAAAAAGTAACGCCTGTTCTCGGTAATCAAAGTTTGATCTTCAATATCGCCCTCCTCTCTTTATTTATTAACTATCGCTCAAGTCTGAAACAAGTCTAGTTATGTTAATGAGCTTATTGTCTTCATGTGAGAGAGAAAGAGTTGGACAAAAAGTACAGAGAGTG